GACAAAGTGCATTAGTAAAGTAAACTCATTCAAAATTTCACTTCCCTCCATTTCTTTTCCCACCATTTTCCATTCACACCTCTTTTGTTATTAATAACAAAACCCAATAATCCCCCACATTAATGGGGAATGGCTATAAACTTGAAGGAATGCATGGACGTGTGTGTGTTTTACATGCAAGAATTAATTGCATCTGGATAAGTAGGTTTCCTTTTGAACTTTCCGTAGTGAACTTATATCGGATATACTCAATCAATCAGTAGATTTGATATCTGTGAACCGTCGAGCTTTGTTGTATACCTAGACAATATAAGTCACACAATCAATCCTTAACCATCTATGGTTCTCACGGTTGTGTTCGTTTCAGCCATGAACACCGCCTGGTATCATGAGTGGTTAGAGAATGGGCCTTTACTTTCATTCCCCTTGAAGCGGCTTACACTTCACACTCACATAGGTGATTCCTAAACGTGTAATCCTAAAGACACACTATCTGGTCATATCCTGCAGACTTAGAAAATCATTAAAAAGCTTTAAGCTTTATTGACTCATCAAAAAGCCTTAATGCTTTACCTCGTTTTTGAACATTTTCTTCATCACGAGAATGGGTTGAGTTATTTGACAATGTTGAACCGTCATTCATAACTTTGTTTTAACATTGTCTTCATCACGAGAATGGGTTGAGTTATTTGACAGTGTTGAACCGTCATTCATAACTTTGTTTGATCTCTTTGAACCTAGCTCTTGGGATCTCCAGTCTGCTAGGTAGAGTTACCGCCATGATGACTTGTCCGAATCCGAAGCCGAAGCCGAAGCCAAGCCGAGCGAGCGATGATGACGACGGCGCGAGGCTTTCCTTCTTCTTAACTCTTTAAGAGCTAAAAGATGAGCTTCTCTATATATACACAAAGATTTTTTTTCCATCTACCAATGAGGGACAAAGTGCATTAGTAAAGTAAACTCATTCAAAATTTCACTTCCCTCCATTTCTTTTCCCACCATTTTCCATTCACACCTCTTTTGTTATTAATAACAAAATCCAACAATCCCCCACATGAATGGGGAATGGCTATAAACTTAAAGGAATGCATGGACGTGTGTGTGTTTTACATGCAAGAATTAATTGCATCTGGATAAGTAGGTTTCCCTTTGAACTTTCCGTAGTGAACTTATATCGGATATACTCGGTCAATCGGTAGATTTGATATCTTTGAACCGTCGAGCTTTGTTGTATACCTAGACAACATAAGTCACACAATCAATCCTTAACCATCTATGGTTCTCACGGTTATGTTCGTTTCAGCCATGAACACCGCCTGGTTTCATGAGTGCTTAGAGAATGGGCCTTTACTTTCATTCCCCTTGAAGCGGCTTACACTTCACACTCACATAGGTGATTCCTAAACGTGTAATCCTAAAGACACACTATCTGGTCATATCCTGCCAGACTTAGCAAATCATTAAAAAGCTTTAAGCTTTATTGACTCATCAAAAAGCCTTAATGTTTTACCTCCTTTTTTAACATTGTCTTCATCACGAGAATGGGTTGAGTTATTTGACAATGTTGAAACGTCATTCATAACTTTGTTTGAACATTGTCTTCATCACGAGAATGGGTTGAGTTATTTGACAATGTTGAACCGTCATTTATAACTTTGTTTGATCTCTTTGAACCTAGCTCTTGGGATCTCCAGTCTGCTAGGTAGAGTTACCGCCATGATGACTTGTCCGAAGCCGAAGCCAAGCCGAGCGAGCGACGACGACGACGACGCGAGGCTTTCCTTCTTCTTAACTCTTTAAGAGCTAAAAGATGAGCTTCTCTATATATACACAAAGATTTTCTTTTCTTCTACCAATGAGGGACAAAGTGCATTAGTAAAGTGAACTCATTCAAAATTTCACTTCCCTCCATTTCTTTTCCCACCATTTTCTATTCACACCTCTTTTATTATTAATAACAAAACCCAACAAACACAACTCTAATTTTCAAATACCATTTTCACTTGAAATTTTTTTCGCTTTCTTTGAAATTTTACAATTCTTATGTCCAAACGCCCATGACATCTTGTGTCGAAGTTGGGAAACTAAACTAAGGGGACCCCTTGTATTTAAGTTAGGGAATTAAATTGTGGGGACCAATCAATAAAGGATATCATACACATATAGATATAAATTCATATTTTTGCAGAAGCTGAAGAAAATTTTAGAAATTGGCAGACATTGTCCTTGACTCCTTGTCCTCCCCTTCTTTGCTGCTTTTAATTCCAAATATAAATAGTTTCTCGCACGGGCTAAAAGTGATAATATCGTTCAATGACGCACGAATGAAGAATCCCTATGCCCTTTTCTTAACGTACTAATAACCCAAAAAAAGAAGGATCGGAACCTTAGTCCAATTACGGAAAAATGACACTGTATAGCCGGTTTCAAATAATAGCTTATATATATATACATTCTATATGTATATACAAAAATTATATAAATTTTATACACTTTTTCGGTTGCAGAATGTAAATAATTTATGCCGCAGGCTTATAATACCCACCCAATGACTAGTGCTCCAGGTTTTCCAGATATTTCTGCAATGCCTATTTAAGTTTAACAATAAGAGATCAGCATAATTTAGCTTCTTATAGCAGGTTATTACCATTTTTATCAGATTATTAATAATATTAATCATTATAAATTTACCTTTAATAACCTTATAAATAACTTGATCATATAAATAATATTTTTACTTTGCCGTTATATCAATGACACTTTTTCATGGAGAATCCCAATGTCTTTTTCTTGACGTACTAACCCAAAAGAATAATCAGAATCTGTAAAAATAGCACGGTCTAGCCAGTTTTCGGATTGGTAATTCAAAAATAGCCAGCGTTTACCAAGTCAATGAAAAATAGCCACTATTTTGCTGCAACAGAGACCGGTCCAGCATAATATACTGGAGTGCGGTGCACCTGTGTATGAACTTCCAGCATATTATGCTGGAACTCCAACACACGGAAAATTCCAGCATAATATGCTGGAGATTCGAGCACTTGTGTATGAACTTCCAGCATATTATACTGGACCGGTATACTTTGCTGGAACTCCAGTATATTATGCTGGAGTTCTAGTGTACTTATGCTGGAACTCCATCATATTATGCTGGAGTTCCAACACACTTATCCTGGAACTCCAGTATAATATGCTGGAGTTTAAGTATACTTAGGCCGGAACTCCAGCATAATATATTGGCGTATTTTCCGGGTTTTGAACAGTGTTTTCGCTCAGATTTATCTTTACATGAAAAATGGCCAGATTTCGATTACTTCTGAAACTGGGCTATTTTTGAATGACCACTTGTAAATCTGGCTATTTTTGAATTTCTCTCTCGGAATCTTGATCCAGTAATCAGAGAGTAAACGTTATAACTTACAATATTCTTCCTGTAAAATTAATAAAATAAGCATAAGGAAAGGTAGAAAGTTTCAACTCAGTTTGAACTACGACAAAGAAGTAGTTGCAACATTTACCAGCAGTATCTTTTGGAAGATTTCTCGTCCAATTTTGATGACGTTTTTATAAAGTCTCAAGAAAGCAAACTGACCAAAAGTGCAAAATGAATCGAGACAAGTTCTTTTCCATAGTTTCTTCAGTTTAAACAAGGCAGAATAGCCTAATAGGCATTTCTACTTGTTTGGGTTTTGACATCCCGATCCTCTTACTTTATGAAGTTTCAACCAAATACTTTAACTCGATCAAAACATATGTTTTAAACACTTCTAACACTGCGTGTTACTCACTCGAGTTGATATGGAGGAGATATCAGATCCACCTCAGCTAAATGAAACCACGTCATTATTTATTTTTATAAAATATTACTTTTACTTCTCCTTCTCTTCCTCTTATGCAGTCAACCACCACCCTCTATACCTTCTTTTCCTCTGCTTCTGCCTCCCCCGTCAACCATTGGCCGCCAATTTCCTCGTCCAAAACCAAAACAATGAGCGGACCAGGGACATAGAACAACAAGCAACATCATCGGCCGGAAAACCCACTATATTCATTGTCTTCATAGAGCAAGATACCAAAAAGAATAAATTATGGGTACAATCTTAACATCCATTAACTTTAATGGCCACGGGTATTCCAATTCAAAGGTTACCAAGATCTGAAATGTAATGGCACCCACTTCAGTTGGGTCATCATCACCTAATAAACGCTCACCAATAGAAATAGTCCAATTTGGCTATCTCTAGTGGTTGCCGTGAAAATTGCTTTTTTGGGTCTTCTCTACAGGGCTGAAAAAGCCAACGGTGGTGGTGGGCTGTTGCAATGGGTTTTGGTAAAAATGGTGGAGGATGAGTACTATCGTGACGAAGGGGGGATAATGGGATTGAGAGGGGGGGTCAAGCAAGTTAACGTGAGTGAAAGAGAGAAATCACTCATTGACTTTTCTTTTCTTTCTGCATTTAACTTTTTGTCTTTTTTTTCTTCTTTCTTTTTATCATTTAAATTATTTTCTGGTTTAAATAATTATACTCACGCTCTATATACGCGTGAAATAAACGTAATTTGTCCAGTTCAGCTGTCAAGCTGCCACATAGACCCAGTCAACGGTCAGAAGGGGTTTAAAATACTGACTTTAAATAACTATAAATGTCTGGATGAAACTTCATTGAATATAGGGACCGAAATGACAAACGCGAACAACTACAAGTGTCTACGAGGCTATTCTGCCGTTTAAACAACTTGCCTCTCATGACCCAAAAACTAACAACCGCTATGCATTTTCATGTAACAGAGACAAAAAGTGCTCAAATTGTAAACATAAAGGACTAAAAGTGCTCAAGTGTATATTTAAAGAACTATTATAGACCAATCCCCAAACATATGGGACTGTTTTGTCATTCTCTTGCCAATTCAACATGATGCCTTGTAAACTTTGACACAAGATGAAATTTGAGTTTTCGTGCAATTTAACGAACATTTGTCAGCCTCATATCTTGTAAGACTCGAGTATAACTAGACATCGTATATAACTAGCTATAATTCACATTTCATATCTGAGCTGTGCGTTCAGTCACAAGTCAGTTGTATTTAATACATCTTTAAAAAAAAATGAAAACTAACAAATACTAACTCTGTTAATGTTATAGAAAACGCAAAAGGAACTAAAGAAGTTAAAATCAGGCACAAAAGTCAATCATAGGCTTGATGTTGAAGGCATGGGCTCTCCTCAAGATTATAACCGCTTTTGATACAAATCGTACAACAATGACTGCATCCGAACTCAAAACTAGACCTGCATAAATATTAATGATATCATCAAATCAAAAGAAAATCATAAATCTACAAGATTTCTCCGCCATAGACGATACATTGTTGAACTACTGATAGATGAGCTTAGCGATTTTACACACCCATTCACCCATCTTACACCTCCGCAGCTAAGAGAGAAACTGAAACTGAACTCGGACAACTGGACAAATAATGAAAGTTGACTTATAGAGGATCACGTGCTAAAGGTACACCGATATTCTAGAAGGCAACTAAAGTTTGTCCAAGTATCGTACAAGAAAGGTTGACACTTGACACGATTCATCTTGCTTCTATTGTTTATTCACTGCAAAGTTAATCGATTAAAAGTTTGTCAATCAACAAACAAAAGGAGCTAGAGAAAAAAAATTGAATAATAAATCCCCACGAAATTACAGGGCTCATCAATCCCAATAAAATTAAGCTCAAAAAGTCCTCCTTTTCTTTGACACTGGGACATGGGCAGACCTAGATGTTAGCAATAGGCGCAGACACATCCATTCCATTCCTAATGTTATTCCCACGATGTGAAGAGAATGATGAAACAGTTCTATATCACAGAATAGCAGTTCAAACCTATCATAAGTAGTATTGGTGATATTCCTGTCTTGGACTCGAATGATTCTTTTCCTCATAATATATGCCAGACTATGACCTCAGCATAACCCGTCACAGACACTCAAATATAACTAAGTAGGTACATCATTTCCTAAATCTATTCATCTCTTGGCTCAACGGGTGCATATCCTCACAAATGAAGTCTAGGTAGTATATCCTCACAAATGGGTTTCCAAGGAGCTAATACTACAATTTGGGTCCATAGGACTGATACTAGAAACATCATTCAAGGACATCATTTTCAAGTAAATGACTCTGGGATGCTACAATAAGCATTAAGCCTCATAAGTGAGAGGATCGAGCAGAAGAAACATATGTACACCAGAGTGATTGTGTTAAACTTAAGTAAAAGCGATCAAATATGCATAATTCATGTATTTAAATACCCTCATCAAAGGGGACACTGTTTACCTGTTGCAGTAGGTTAAACCTTGTATTCATGAACACGCATCCATTTCGTAGATGACCACTTGTTACCCTTAATCACGGAGCACCCACCTACAACAAGACGTAGATAATTGAACTTATGTATCAAAAAAATTTGCTGAAGTCATGAGCGCTGCTAAATTGTAGAATGGTTGATACTTCATGTGAATAAGATGTTCAGATCATGTGGTAATCAGGTAGAATTGAGCTTCTTAAATCAATCAGCAGCCATTATCCGAACCTACTCTTAGTGGACATTACTCACCGTGCAAGCTTGAAGGATCGAGAGTAGCATCAGGCTTCATGCTCCAGAAAAGCAAAGCATCACCCATCTTTGGTTTTACAGAGAGTCCACTTTTTCCACATTCAGATAGCTCATTCCACCAAGGAACCGCACTAACATTTCCCTTGGCAGTAGGAAATACAGTTTCTCCCCCTTCTTCCACATCTGATCTGGTGATGCATCAAGAGAAATTAACCAGAGTAACCCATGAATATTACATAAACATAAACCTCACTGAGGGAAAGTCACTTACAAGTACATCAAAACCGTGGCAATGCGTTGACCACCATTTATAGTATTGAACTCATCGGCAAAGTAATCATAGTGTGGCTCATACTTTTGCCCAACTTCATAGTGGAGAATTTGAAGACCTTCACCATGCTCTACAGACAGAAGCAGAAGCATCAATCAAAAGAGAGGCGGCACTATATTATATGTCAACTTGTATGGAGTTTCTTCTAATTAGATCGAGGCATCACGAAACATTCACAGACCCAGAGTAATAAAAAAATAACACAATGTAAATTCATACAATCACATTATTTGTTATAAAATCTGCATACCTACTGGTATAAAAGTAAAATCTGCAATCCTTTTCTCTATAGTTCTGACTACTTTATCTTGTCCCCTGGCAAGAAATGTTCCAGAACTTGTTCGAACCCTGTCAGGGAAGTTTTAGAATTAAAATAATGTGAAAATTGAAAAAGAATTGACCGGCACCAGAGCAAGCAAAAGAGATGCTTACTTGCTGTCTGTACTCTTGCCAGTAGCACTGTCGACGACAGTTGACTTTTTCATATGAGGCTTGCCAAGATTAATCAGATATTCACATTCGTCCTTTGACTGCCCAAGAAATAGGAAGGAAGTTCGGATTAACGACTTCTTCATAAACCAGTAAATCCATGGCTCAACAGATCCAGTGTTAGTTATGCTCTAATTAGAACACTACCAACAACTTCTTTAGATACCAGCAAATGTATCAGCCAACGAATCATTTCTTCTTTTTCCTTTTTTAAAAAGGTAAACGTTATTATTTTTTATTTTTATTTTGAGTAAGGTAAACATTATTATTAAATACTACTACCTTTGTTCCGTTATGTGGCACTATTTCCTTATTAGTTTGTTGGAAGAAGAATGTCACATTTCTATATTTGGAAATAATTTAGCTTTAAACTTCCTATTTTACCCTCAATGGCATGCTTTTTCTGGCCACATATCTCATGGCATGTTTCAGACCAAGTTCTAGAACTTCTCTTTCTTTCTTAAACATCATGCCTAGTCAAACACCGCTATATAAATTGAAATGACGGGAGTATCTAACAACAAATATTGTGTTGTAGTTACATCCCAGCAAAAAGACAAAAAAGTAAAACCTGGCTATCTACGTAGTGAATCTAAAATTCTAGCAAGGTTTCAGCATCATTTAATCTACAACAAAAGGAAATCAAAATTAGAAGAACTGATTTGATCTTCAGAATAGAGCTTTATTGTCCTTTAAAGCATTTCTGTTTCTTTCTTTCCATAGCCACCACTATATGCAAGTTGGCAATGAATCTTTTTTTTTGTTTTGTTTTGAAAAGGTAAGTTTTATTACTACATAACAAACAATACAATATCAGGCAATGAATCAATGGGGATATGCTATGATGAGGAAACTAGTAATCTAGTATCAATATTGATAATAACAAAAAACCAAAGTTAAGTGACCTAGATGGTCTACAATGGAAGAAAGTGCATTTGTTTTTTTGCAGTGCACAAGCAAACTGCATATCAATACCCATGTTGATTTTAAGAAAGAAAAAGAACACAAGAACCGACTATTGTCATCCTTTTGAAGCTCTTGTTTTTCCAATTTGCTACATCAGATGGCTTTGTGCATTGATCTGTATCTTATCCAAATTCAGAAATAATGTGCTCTTCCCAAACTTTTATAGTATAGAATTCAATGCCAAGTGCAAACATTTATCATTTCCTACACAAGAGGGTCTCCCTGGCCACTATGAATGGATATTACCTTTTTTTTTTTTTTTTGCATGAATATCACATCAATAGAGTAAATTGCATGATGTGAACTTGTGAGTGCAACAACAATGTATCCAGTGTAATCCCACAAGTGGGGTATGGGAGGATAGTGTGTACGTGGACCCTACCCCTACCTTGTGCAGGTGCCAGGTAGAGAGGCTGTTTCCGAGTCTCAGGCAAGCATAACCACAGCAGTAAAGAACGAGAAATGCAATAATAAAGAAGGAAAAGGGAGCAGCAACAAGGCTAAGAATAAAACCGAGGCAGAAGCAACATCAGGTAACTTGACTTAGGATAATCAAACGTCCAACACAGTCACATGAGAACCTCTATCCAGTAAAATAGTTGTGAATTCCCACCAAAATTTAACTCTAAGAGAAAACCATTCATTTCTTCTTTACACTGCTACTCATGCACAATGCATTAAAGATAAATTCTTTTTAAATATGGAAAGGTATAAAGGAAATCATTTCCAAATATATAAATTTGTCATTCTTTTTTAGACAAATTAAAAAGGAAATGTGTCACATAAATTGGGATCGAAGGGTATATCTTAAGGGAAGTACCAAGAAGTTATGGTATACAACAGCTCTTGGTTCCCATGAAATCACTTCAGCCCACTGATCTCCTTTTCCACCACCATCATCATCTCGTCTGCAGCAAAATAAAAGAAACAAAATCCCCTCAAAAACCATCAGATCCCTATCCAATTTTATGTTATTTTTCTAAATAACCAGAAATTAGTTAAAAAAATTCAATGAGAATTAGTGAATTACCTTCCAACTGCGTTGTGAGCAATTGAGCTAAGATCATGTGCTTTTTGAGATCCTTTAGAACTGAAAGGAATCGAGAAAATTCCAAAAGCGAGAAGAATCAACACGAGAAGAGATAATCCAATAAATACGGCAAAGACCAGCGTCGAATTCGATGATTTACGAGTTAGACCACCTCGGACGTGCCTTCCTTTGACTACCATTGTTACTGAATAATAAGGTTTGTAATTTGGAAATTAAGATTTAGGAATATAACCCTAAAAATTGAATTGGGTGGTAATCTTCTTCAGGTGGGAATTTTGAGTTACAGTATAAGAAGTCTGAGTCGCTGAAATAAATGGTGGCTTTTTTAGAAGTTTCAATATATTGAAAACACTTTGGACAATTGAATTGTTTTTGTTTTTCTATGGACTTTTGTTATAAATAGAATTTTAATAGAATTTTATTTATGGTGAATGTCTATATTTAGAGAGATTCTAGGATTTATTACTTGGTGGCTAAGTCACTCTCTCCCTATAAATAGAGAGTTCTATTTTATTGTAATTCATCCCAAATCAATAAGAATTCTCTCTCCCTACTTTTCTCTGCAATATTCTTCTTCGTCTTTTATTGTTTCATAACACGTTATCAGCACGAGACTCTAACCAATTGAGTAGAAGCTTTGTGATTGAGCATAATGAATGTCAATTGTTCCATGAACTCCTTCATGATTAAATTCTGGATTTAAGGTAAGTATTTTACTTTACTTTTCTCGTTTAAATTCTTGACATTCTATAATTTGATTTTAAATACAAGCAAAGATGATAAATTTTGATTATAACTCTAATGGAGTTTGTAAGAAATTATAACCACCTCAAGTGGTAAAATTTCGATGCCTCGCCATGATCAAATTCATGTATGATTGTGGGCAAAGAATTGAAAACCCGTCCCATTGAATTTGCTCCATTCTCACTCCCTTAAGAGAATGTGATGGCAGTATGTGATAAGTCTGAAAGAAGACAAAATTATTACTATGAATGCATCAATGGATATAGACGTGGCAATAGACGAAATTATAATCGTCATCATTGTGGTAATGAGAACAATAAGGATTCTCAAAATAATCCTTCACTTTGTGAAAGTAATATTTATCATCGATTTGACATAAGATTTCGTAAAGCACATACAGATGACTATGGTCCATTCATGATGTGAATGTGAAAACATTTGATTTATGAATACATATTCATTCTTGGAAGGATATGAATGTGCTAGTGGTAGTGAATATACCATACTCGCCTCTAAAAGGAGGTTTGAGATGATATAAGAAAACAATATCATTATTATGGCATGAATGGTCATTGGTCGCGTACCTATTATACGCCAAAATACTTTGGTAATGTGATTATTAAAGCATAACATTAATGCAAGAAACATATCTTGCATATAATTTTGACCATAACCATAATGGTATAACTTTCTCTTTAAAAGAGATATTCACCATATGGATGATGATGAATATGTGGTAGGGCAAAATTAATTGAGAGCTCTAGAAGAGCCAATTATACTATTTTGGAGAAAATTAATTATCAATAAGACGTTGTGTCGTAGTAAGTCTCAAAGAAACTTATTGAGTTTCTAAAGTATTCACGAAAGCGGTTGGTCATACTGAGACTATAAATAAAGGAAAGATTTAATATCTTCTATTACTACAACTTGTAACTGAGTAATATGTATGTGAAAAGCTACACGCTTTATTCTCCAGTTTGTACTACACAAATAAAAGAATGCCACAATAAAAAGAAGTTTATTGATATAAAATCCATATCATAATAAACTTGGAGTTTATTGATAATTGCACACGTCATAGTGTAAATCTGAAGTTTATCAATATTGATAATTTATTCAGTTGGCATAATTGGTTTACCCATATCAATTTAAGTATGATGTGCAAAAATAAAAGAGAATTCACATGGGTAAATATTAAAGAACTAGAAAGTTCTTTACGAATTCTCTTATGTTGGCTTGTTCTCATTAATTAATTGACCAACTAAAATTGGGATTGAATCCCATGAATGCTGGAAATATCAAAGGTGAATATGGACCCATTCACCCGCCATGTATACCACATAAGATGCATCTATGAGATGGTTACATGTGCAATTATTATTAACCCGCAGCCTGGCCGGTGTGTGCGAGGTAGCTTGCTCAATAATTTAATTTCGAGCATAATTTTCAGATTTCCTATTCAAGATAGTTTATCTTGATAAACTGGTTTACATCACAGTTGGTTTAGCAAAATGATTTATTAAGTGCCTCCACTTAATAGCTAACTATTGCTTATGAGAACAAAGTTATCTATATTCAGTTTGATATAGGTTATATACGGAAGTATATTACATTCTCCCCTCACAAGTGGTTCAGGGTCAGGAACCAAATAATTCTATCTTATTGTTATTGATGTGCGGGGTATATTTAATACCATAACGTACAAAGATGAGTTCTCAAAGTTGAGGGAACAAGTTAGTTTTTCTAACATGAGGGGGAGACATGATAAACAGTTGAGAAAAAGTTACGTGGAATGAATTATCATTTGTACACCTAGATTCACAAATAATATAATATGAACTTGAAGTTCATAAAAGAATAATTCATTTGCAATATATTGCAAAGCATGTCAGACACATTTGCTGACCCAAAGAAAGTAACTATATTCTCATTGCAAATGCTCATATTAAGTCCTAGAAGGACAAAGTCTATGGTACGCTTGAAGCGTATAGACAAATCGGTTTCAAATAACTTCTTGATAAAAAAGATGAGCAAATGATCAAAATGATCATAATAAAGGAGGCAAGTGATCTAGAAGATCACATGACATAACACTTCATAAAATCTCATGAGAGATTCAGGTACCTGAATATATGAATGAAGAGATCTCTATGTTATGTCTTTATGAAAAATAAGGAGGTTGGAACCGATATAAAATGTTTGTCGACGACATCTATGACAACGCTATATATATATATATATATATAGTCTGGATAAACAATTCAAGTAGAATTTGGTTTCATATGAAAGACATATATTTTAGGACCTGCAGTCCAAACACTTGAAAGTATAAAGTCAATGATATGCATAATCAGTTTTCGATATCTTATATGTCTAGCATGACATGAAAACTTGATATGCATCTAAGTCTATTATATGACTTATATGACTTAGCTTATATGACAATCCACGAAGGATTTAAATTGCTTAAAGCATATAGAACTCTTGGCCCTGAAGTACCACATCCTAAGTGCAATTTGTGCACATATGTATCTTGTTATAATTATAAGCATGATAATGTAATTGCGAGGATTTTCAAGGTGCAACATATTCATTGAAGTTAATATGGCTATTTTATTCATCAAATCTCTGTCGACGTCAACCTTCAAGAAGCTAGTACACAACATTGGAATGCGAAGGCTCAAGGATGTGAATTGACGCTCTCATCAGGGGGAGTTAATATGCGTTGCACTCTTTTTTTCCTTACAAGGTTTTGTCCCACTGGATTTTCCTTGCAAGGTTTTTAACGAGGCAACCAAAAGGCGTGTTGTTAGATATGTGTACTCTTTTTCCTTCTCTAGAATTTTTTTTTCCACTGGGTTTCATTTTAGTTAAAGTTTTAACGAGACACATTATTTGTTGAATAGACATTCAAGGGGGAGTGTTATAAATAGAATTTTATTTATGGTGAATGTCTATATTTAGAGAGATTCTAGGGTCTATTATTTGGTGGCTAAGTCACTCTCTCCCTATAAATAGAGGGTTCTATTCTATTGTAATTCATCCCAAATCAATAAGAATTCTCTCTCCCTACTTTTCTCTGCAATATTCTTCTTCGTCTTTTATTGTTTCATAACAACTTTAGACTTTTCAAAAGCTTAACCAAATAAGCTACTCATAAGACAATTTCATTTCTCTTGCACTTTTGTATCTCTCACCATTAAGTACCTGGTAATTTTGAAGACAAGTTATGCTCGAATTAGTTATATTGGGATTAATTATACTGTGATTAGTTATCTTAATATTATTTTTTATTGATTATTTTGTACGTTGTATCAATACTGGGATTATCGGTTTTACTGCTTTATCATAGAATAATTTATCTTGGACTTACTATTCCACCCTTTCGCAGGTATAAATTATTCTAAATTATCCTGGTATTATTTTTAATTTCAGGATAACATATCCCAAGATTAGTAACCAAACAAGGAAGTAGTGCTAATTTTTTATCACGGGGTCATTTATTCGTTTTTACTTACCCATTGTACCAATTGACCCCTTTTGTTTCCTTTAGAAGTTAAAACTACGACAACTTTGTTAATCATTAGGCCATGTTTTTGGGTGCATACTTTCTGATTCTCTCTCACGATGCATAAGACAAATTATTTTTTTATTATGTAGAGTTTTACATGGCAATTGTATTAATTATAAAATAAATTAATATCAACAATACGATGGTTCATCTAGCAAACAAAAATTATGTATTAATTATCTGAATATTCATATAAAAAATACTTTTCCAGTTGTGGCTTCAATTTCATGAATGGCCGCTTACTAAAGTGTACTTAAACTGTCAATTAATTAGGAAGAAATGGAAACAATAAGTAAATTTTGGCCTAAAATATTATTATATCGTTATGCGAAGTTTTTCTTTCCTATTTTATTCCTCATGGGTTCGAGTCTTCCTTTGCAATAACTATAGAGCTATCAAGCCACACTAAGAATGTTTTTGGGAGATGGTGGAGGAGACGACGGTGACGAGGGATGTGTCTATTTTCAAGAATCAGTTCGAATTCATATCGGGACGATCGATTACAAAAGACATTCATCTTGTTAGGAGATTGGTGAAGCGGTATACGAAGAGGAAGGGGGACTTATGTATGATATTCATCGACCTAGAAAAAATTCATGACAAAGTCCCAAGTGAGGTCCTATGGATATGTTTAGATGCTCGAGGTGTACTTGTTGCATACACTAGGGCAATTAAGGACATGTATGATAGAATCAAGACTCGTGTAAGGACAGTTAGATTGAACTCTAGATACCTCCCAGTCATGGGGGTTACACCAGAGATCAACTCTCAACCCATTCTTATTTGTTTTGGTGATGGATAAGTTGATGCGACACATTCAATGGAGGTACCTTGGTGCATATTATTTACATATGACATACTATTGATTGACGAGACACATGGCGGAGTTAACGTTGGCTAGAGTTTGGAGGAATACACTGGAGTCTAAAGATTTTTAGATTAAACATGACTAAAACAGAATACTTTAAAATGCAAGTTCATTGAGTAACTCGGGCGGCTGACATGGAAGTGAGGT